GATAAGAACAATTCCTAAACACGCTCCTTTAACATTTGAGGAGCCATCAGTAAATAGGGTCCAAATACCTAGATTAGACCCGTTGAATACCTGCAGTTCCTTTTCTGCTTCTATTACTATTCTTGGGCTGAAATCTGCCACGAAATTTGCTAAAACCTGTGATTTTGTGTAGTTCTAGGTTGATATGTGATATCATATTCACTTAGTTCTATAGCCCACTTGGTTAATCTATTTGATAATTCTTGCTTATGTAATATATTTTGTAAGGGAAAAGTGGTCACTACAGAGATAGCTAGGGTGACATTGAAAATAAGGCCTCAACTTTCTAGATGCCATTATTAGTACTAAAGCAAATTTTTCTAAATGAGGATATCGAGTTTCAACATATAATAAGGACTTTCTAACATAATAAATTGGAGATTGTTTATCTTTGTCTTGTCGAACTAATACTGCACTTACCACCATTTCTGATAAAGCGAGGTAGATGACTAGCCTTTCTCCATCCTTCGGTTTAGCCAGCAACGGTGGTTTGACAAGTATGTTTTTAGATTTTTTGAGTGCTTGTTGGCATTCCTCAGTCCACTCAAATTGGCTTTGCTTTTTCAACACTGAAAAGAACTTAAAACTTTTCTCCTAAGATTTAGAAATAAACCTTCCCAATGCTGCTATCTTACATGTCAACCTCTGCACCTCTTTTTTGCTCGTGAGTATATCCGATATTTATTCAATGGCTTTAATCTGAGCTGTATTTACTTCAATTCCTCGGTTAGAAACAAGGAAACCTAAAAACTTACCTGAAGACACGCCAAAAACACACTTTTCGGGATTTAACTTCATATTAAATTTGCGGAGAATCTGAAATGTATCTGACAAATGTTGGATGTGATCCCCCATCTGTGTTGACTTGGCTAGCATGTCATTAATATAAACTTCCATGGTTTTTCCCAGATGTTCTTGAAACCTTCGTTACTAACCTCTTGTACGTGGCTCCAACATTCTTTAGGCCGAAAGGCATGACTTTATAACAGTAAGTCCCCCTATCTGTAATAAAGGAAGTTTTTTCCTCATCTAAATGATCCATTTTTATTTGATTATATCCTGAATAAGCATCTAAAAAACTCAACAATTCATGTCCTGCAGTAGCATCAGTTAGTTGATCCATGTGTGGTAAAGGAAAAGAATCTTTAGGGCTTTATTCAAGTCAGTATAGTCTACACAAACTCGCCACTTACCATTCTTTTTGGGCACCACTATATTATTAGCTAGCCAGTTAGGATATTTTACCTCTCGGATAGACCTAATTTTTAAAAGCTTTTTTACCTCATCCTGAATCACCTGCTTTTTGAAGGATCCTTGCTTCCTTTTCTTCTGTTTGACATTTGGGTATGTTGGATTTTCATTCAGCTTATGGGTTATCACTTCCGGTGGTATACATGTCATATCTGAATGCGACCAAGCAAAACAATCTGCGTTAGCTTTTATAAATTCAATTACCTTACCTTTCATCTCTAGTCTCAGGTTGGTTCCGATGTAAACTTTTCTATTCGGCCAATGTATAGACAACACCACAGCTTTGAGTTCCTCAATTGTTATTTTGATGTATTTGTTCTCTTCTGGCTCTTGAATAGTATCAGACCTTGAGTCTACATCCATTAGTCCATCCCCAGTTGAGGTGTGTGTTGCTAAATCCTCAACTGGATTTTGTAATTGCTATTTTTCGTCTGCAACGTCGTTTTTTATGCTTGAATCTGCCATTGATTTGATACTTCTCGAAGCCTATTGATCACCACGGATTTGTCTAATTCAAAATTGCGAAGGGAACTTAATAACCTGATGTAAAGTAGACAGAACAACATCCATATCGTGAATCCAAGGTCTACCGAGGATCATATTGTACTACCAGGATAAATCAAAACTCGTTTCACATTAGTATCATGTACAAGTAAAGATATTACTAGTGCATCATTGTGTGGGATCATCACGCCATCTGCTTCTGCATTATCAAATGTTATACTGTCTTCTTCCAAAACTCGACGAACTCGCTTTTCGTGGGTAACTGTGACTTTTGACACCTTTTTTGCAGTTGTATATGCCACGCCGTTGACCTTCTCTCCTCCGCTTATCACGTTAATCGTTCTTTTCGGTGACGGGGGTTTTGGTGGCTCCTGTCTATTCTTCATATATGCTTGCTTACCCTTCTCACTAAACAAATCGGTTAAATAGCCTTGTTTTAATAAGTGCTCTATTTCACCTTGTAGCAATCTACAATTTACTGTTTTATGACCGTGATTATTATGAAACTCGCACCAGAAATCTGGGTTTCTTCTACTGGGGTTCGATCTCATTTCTTTTGGCCACCTCACCTTATCTTCCATGCTTCTTAAAAAAGCTACCGACCCAGATGTTCTAATATTAAAACAGTAACCCCCAATCTTTGCTTTTGTACTTAAGTTGTTGTCCTGCGTATCTCGCTCATTTCCAAACTTGGATGACGAACCAGTATCTCTATCCCTTGATCTGGAACCGTACCTCAAGTTCTCCTATTTAGAACGTGAATCCCTTCCTGCTGGTTCCATGTAAGGTTCGCACCTGTTCTTATCGGACCTTTTTTCAATTTATGGTCGCCTCGAACTTATTCTTTCATCTCCCAGTGACTGAGTGATAGTGTCTTCTTCTATCTGTAGCTTTGTGATACACCTGTTGTAAACCTCATTCCAAATTGTTGCAGGGAATTCTCGTAAGCTTTCTTTGAGTCTCCTCGTGGCTTCTGAGCTTTTTTCATTTAAGTTACTCACAAATGCCATGGCCGCCCAATTATCCGGTACACGTGGTAGCATCATCATTTCACACTGGGATCTATCCACAAATTCCCTGAGTAGCTCCGTATCTCCTTGTTTTATTTTAAAGATCTTTTCCATCATCTTTTTAACTTTTTGAGCTCACGATTATGCTTTTATAAATGAATCTGCAAGATCAGCAAAAGAATCAATAGAATTTTCTAGTAAAAGAGAATACCATGTTAGGGCTCCTTTTGTGAGTGTTTCACCAAATTTTTTGACCAGCACCGACTCAATTTCTTGCTTGGTCAAATCGTTGCTCTTCACGCCAATTGTAAATGCAGTTACATGATCTGGTGAGTCAGTTGTCCCATCAAACTTCAGAATATCGGGCATCTTAAACTTTTTTGAAATTGGTAGAGGAACGGCACTTGGCTTCCAGGGTTATTGAGAATATTTATCAATATCCACTCTTTTAATTACGGGTGGCACACCAGGTATCTGCGATATATGATTGTTCTGCTCCTTGAGCTATTTCTGCAAATTTAGTACTAAACTTTGTAAATCAGAATTATTTGGAGTACCTGACCTCCTGTCACGAGATTCACTAGAAGTTCCTCCATTGCCTGAATTAGCAAGTCCCGAGCGTGGATTTTCTATACTTGCGGTGTTATTTGAAGGTGAAGTTGGAGGTACAATTGGCAACCCACTAACAAAAACTTGGAGAGCATTGTTGACGTGTTCTGCAATTAGTTGCTTCAATGCATCATCAGCAGTTTGATCATCCCTTTGTTAATTAACATGCGATGTTGATCTGTCAGGTGACCTTTCACGGGAGTGTGGAGGAGAATTTTAGGGAGAGGGGTTTGGAATTTCATTCTCTTGTTGATTCTATTGGTTCAGCTGATTTTGCTGGTTTTGTTGGTTGTAGTCGTTAGCGATCAACATTTTTTTTTTGACAGAAAAATGAATTTGGAAAGTGAAAAATTATCAGATTTTCGGTAACGGAACCAATTTGTTTAACTAAAAAATGTGTATTCCGGTCAAAGCTTATTTTTAGAAGTATTCGGGCTACTGATAATCAAGAATTTCTATATTCTCTCAATGATAAGAAAGAAAATTAGAATATGAAATAGCAAAGTAATCAATAGAAAGCAAAAAAAAGTAATTGTATTCCAATGACAATTAGAACGTGTCTTTACAAGTGAAATCCCCTTCCCTTATATAGGAATCTATAAGTACAACGTTTCTTCCCTTTTATGACTAAATTATTATGAACATTAATGATATTAATGAGACGTTATATTTGCCAATCATAACTGTTCATGAAGATCGTGTAACGCTTAAGATCATTCATGCACATTAATTGACGATTCATGAACCTTCCTTCTTTACTGACTTGATTCATTCTGCCGGTGTCTCTTCATATAGCAATTCAGACTCGAGTGACCATTCCCCTTTTATCTCGTGGGTGATTTGCTCGTGCCTCTTTTAATGCATCTCTCCGGCCTGTTGCCTTCTTAGCGATTCATGTGTCTTGCCACATCATCCACGTATATAAATCCACGTGTAATATTTATTTTTACCAATACAACAGTGAAATTTCATTTGTTAGTTAGTGCTTTAACTTTAGAATGAGATTTCTGACAAATTCGAACTAATCGAATCTCAAAATAAACATAAAAATATAAAATAATAATAAAAAATACATTCTATCAAGTCGATTGACTTTGACTAATCTTCTTCGCGTCAAAAAGGTTAAAACATTTTATAATCGGAGCAACTTTGAGCCCATTTGGACATGATTTTTTTTTCTTTCTTTCAATTTTTTTCAATTTTTTTTCCAAATTAGTATTTGTTTATAAAATTTTCATTTGAAGATGTATTTTGAAAATTTTTGAAAATTTGAAAAACTTCAAAAAACTATTATTTAATATTTTTATTTAAATTACTCACAAAATTTAAAAAACAGCCCAAAATTTTATTCATGTCCAAACAAAAGTATTAATTTAGAGCGATTAAATGCGGAAGGATGCAGGTTCGGCCAATTGTAGAGACACACGTAATCCATGTGACCCTGCTTTTCGTGCTCCAACGCTTGAACCCCGTGGAAAAAAATTGACAATGATTCCTGCTCCTTCAACTTCCCTTACTTATTATGGTTGTTCACGTGATTCACCTCTTCCCACATTTCTCAAAAAACACGCTACTAACGGGAACATATAGCCCTTGACAAAACGAAGCAAATTTACACCTAGTCCACACGGAAAGTACACTAGGGTTGCTCTCATTCAATTGCTACCATCCCTCTCCCTCTCCCCTGAAAGTAGATAACAGCAAATAACAACAATTTCCTATAAGATAATTTAAAGCTAAATTACCTTCCAAACAATACCTTCAAATTAATTTCATTTTCATATCCGCCGTTCCACCGCCGCCTCCGAGCAATCGCGAATTCACCTGGTAAAGCGCCGACAAAAGAGACGGTAGAGTGGAACCACACGAGAAAAACTTACTCTCCGGCCGCCGTGGATGGGCCAATCAGCTTCCACCACTACTGCAGTTCAAAATCACATCCATCATTCAAGGTCAAAATCTAGATCTACCGGCGTTATCTCGCCGATGAAGGAAAATGAGGATTCTGAGGATGTTATCGACGTGTTCGAGGTTGGAGAGTTTGATTATTCATCTAATATACCGGATGAGTGCGTGGCTTCTATTTTCCAGTCTCTTAGCTCCGGTGACCGTAAACGCTGCTCCCTCGTCTGCCGCCGTTGGTTCCGGATCGAAGGTCAAAGCCGTCACCGTTTGTCGCTCAACGCGCAATCGGACCTTGCTTCTGTGATTCCGTCCATTTTCTCTCGGTTTGATTCGGTTACGAAGCTCGCTTTGAAATGCGACCGTAGATCTACGAGTATTGGAGACGATGCGTTGGTCCTCATCTCGCAGGGGTGCCGTAACCTCACACGTTTGAAGCTTCGAACATGCCGGGAGATTACTGACGCCGGAATTGAAGCTTTTGCGAAGAATTGCACGGGTTTGAAAAAGCTTTCTTGTGGATTGTGTTCCTTCGGTGCCAAAGGCATGAATGCCGTGTTGGATAACTGCTCCTCCCTTGAAGAATTATCAGTGAAACGGCTCCGTGGCATTACAGATGGCGCAGCGGCAGAGCCAATCGGTCCTGGAATTGCCGCAGCGTCTCTCAGAGTTATATGCTTGAAGGAGCTCTATAATGGACAGTGCTTTGGACCGTTGATTATAGGATCGAAGAATTTGCGGACGTTGAAGCTCTTCCGATGCTCTGGAGATTGGGATAGGCTTCTGGAAGCAATAGCTGATCAGGTAAGTGAAGTGGTTGAAGTTCATCTTGAGAGGCTTCAGGTTAGTGACATTGGACTTGCTGCTCTCTCTAAATGTTCGAATCTTGAAATTTTGCACCTTGTTAAAACGCCAGAATGCACTAATTTCGGCTTAGTGGCTGTTGCTGAACATTGTAAGCTTCTCCGGAAGCTCCATATTGATGGATGGAAGACTAACCGGATAAGTGATGAAGGGTTAATTTCTGTTGCTAAACATTGTCCCAATTTGCAAGAATTGGTTTTGATTGGTGTGAATCCAACGCGTGCTAGTTTGGAGAAATTGGCTGCAAATTGTCTCAACTTAGAGAGATTAGCTCTATGTGGGAGTGATACTGTTGGAGATCCCGAGCTTTCGTGCATAGCCGCAAAGTGTATTGCATTGAGAAAGCTATGTATAAAAAGTTGCCCTGTATCCGACCAAGGTATGGAAGCGCTGGCTAGCGGATGTCCAAATTTGGTAAAAGTGAAGGTTAAGAAGTGTAGATTGGTGACTTCTGAGGCTGCAGATAGGTTGAGGACCACTCGAGGTTCTCTTGCTGTGAACTTGGATGCAAATGAACCTGAAATTCCTGATGCAAGCACCAGTGATTGTGTTGCGAATGAGGTTGGCCAGGAAAATAGGCAGATGGCTAGCCAAGTAGGCGGCAGTGCTAATATTGCATTAAGCAATACTGGAAGGTCAAATTCCTTTAAGGCAAGGTTAGGACTCATAACGGGACGGAATTTGATGGCTTGTACATTTAGAAGGTGGTCAAGCTTTGGTGGCAGTTTCAGTTCCAGAAATAATTAGAGAAGGCATTGACTGATTTTCAATTGGAGAAACCAGCATTGATGTGTTCAATGTATGTATTCTGCTGTTGTAGTTATTTGACTTTTTTTTAACCTTATATATTCTTGATTTAGTGTGCTCGACAACTCATTAACAGATTAAGCCTTCATGATTGAAAGAGTCACCCTTGAAATTCTATCTTTTGTGCTTATGTACAACATTATTGATGCTTCCTTTTTCACAATGAGGTAGAGGCCGAGAAGTTGATAGTGAGATTTCTATTCAACTTATTGGTCTTATGATATATCTTGAGGATAAGTCCAATGATCTGTATTTATTATAAACTGTCTTGGGGGCTGGGTAATACCTGGTACTATGCAATTTTTGCAACTAGATGTCCATGTCTAACTTGAAACAAACCCATACTCTAAAGAGAAAAAAAGTAAAGGAAGAAGAAAGAAAGTTCTCAAAACCTGTTAAAACCCTGTATAAAGTATCATTTCCGAATCTTTCTTTATATTGCTTTCTACGTGCCCGTGTGACTTGTCATGGCAAGGCACAACACTGTGATAATAAGAGTACAGACCAATTCTTGTATATTTTGTTACTGAAATTGTGTGAAAAGTACTATGTGATCCTGTTTCTGCTCTTAAATATGTTCCTGTTTCTTTACGCCTTGTAGTATTAGATATGCTTAATCATGTATCTTGAAAATGCACAAGCATGGAATGGATAAATGTCCCGCCATGCTTGGAAATAATGTACAGTTAGATGCTACTATAATTTAAAGATGTTTTTTTGGGGCTGGGAATCAATCTACATAATAACTAAATACAGTAATGTCTTTGTATACTTATATCTTCTTTTGGGTGATGAAGCACAGTTCTGGGATGCCGAGCTATGTGATTCTGCATAACCACAAGAATATAGTGGTAAGTTGAATTCAGAGTTTGGCAGAAAGAATATGTTTAGTTTGCCATGGAATTGTGTTGACTTAATAAATTTTGTTAGAGATAATTTTGGGATATCATGTAATTGGTATATGGTAATCCATCTAGACCTCTATAGCTGTATGTATAATTGTATATCTTTCCCAGGGATGAAATCTTGTATGAGGATGAAGATAAAGATATGTGGTGTGTGTCATTATCCATAAAAAGTTCATTTGCCTTTCCAACGTTCTGAAAAAACTGGTGAATCTATTAGTCACCTCTGGAGGTGTGGATAAGCTCCAATCACATTGTTGCTGGAATCTTTTATTTATTCATTCAGCAAGGTTCAACTTAATGAATGGACTTGAACTTATTGATGTGATGAAGAACCAAGAGAACCATACATCACTATGGAGTCTCAGTTACTTGATGGTGCATTTAATTTTTATCTTGATTGGTGCTTATTGTAGTGATATTTCTGTTTGTGTATAAATGGATCTAGAAAAGACCATTAAAAATCACAACTTCTAACAGATTAATTTAAGTAGTTTTAAAGTATAATCAATTTTATTTCTTCTTTTCTCTGTATATTCTGCAGTTCTTTATGAAATTTGTAATTTTGTTAAGTTGGGCTACTCAAGGTAATGAAATGGTAAGCCCACTGCTTAATGTTTGTTATCATGTTCTTGCTTAGTAGCCCAATACACCATTGAAACGATTCACGTTTGTTAAAGAAGTTAAATGTGGAGAAGGTGACTCTGCTTCTCTGCTACGGGTTCATAGACTTATGTAGTCACAAGTTGAAGCTTTATGTGAGAAAATTGGGCTTAATTGTAGCTAACATCTAATAAGGACTATATACATAATGGAATATGTAAAAAGTTGCCAGATGAAAGCATTGAGAAATGCTTAAAGAATTCAATTGATTAAAGACTAGTATTAGAACTTATCGCCTCGATGTGCGAACGGTAAAAAGAATATTAGTCACGTCAAATTGTAATCTAGCCTTTTAAACACATTAGAACATACATATTGCTTTAACAAAATAACTTAGTGCCTCAATGCAATGAACTCAATAACAAAATTGAAACTAAAGAAAACGAATCATATAGTTATCATGTAACTACTTTATTTCTTATTTTTCACTATTACGGTAACAACCCCGTTTAGTGTATTGGAGCCCTGTTTTCCTTTGGAAGCTTTCCGTGTGTATCATTTGTTATGTGACTTGCAGGGATGTTTGGTTTGGTATCGGGGAGGTTTTGGATTGATTTGGAATGCTTGTCTTAGTTTGGAGGCTTAGGTTGGAAGTGTTGACTGAGATGTGACTTTTATGAAGACGACCTCGCTACGTTGTTTTGATGGTTCCAATAAGTTCGTATGGTCATTTTGAACTTAGGCGTATGTTCGGAATTCGAATTCGGAGGTTCCTGGGTTGATTTGGCCTTTTTGCCGAAAATTGGCAATTTGAAGGTTTAGAATTTTCCTATGTTTGACCATGGATTGACTTTATGACTATCAGGTTCGGATTTTGGTTTCCAGACATAGAATAGTTCTGTTTTGTCATTTGGATCTTGTGTGCAAATTTTGGTGTCATTGTGAGAGGATGTTTGAATTTGCTTATTTTAAGTGCTTATTGGCTTTAAAGTATTTTTTTAGTTTGTGTGGTGTTTGACAATGATAAAAAGTGCTTAAAAACACTTATTTTTAGGAATAAAAAGTACAAAAATAAGCCAAAAGCCAAATGTTGGGTATTACCAACTTATGACTTTTGGCTTTTAGCTTCAAAGCTACTTTTTATAAGCTAATCCAAACACCCTCTGAGTTGGTTTGGTAGGTATCAGATGTTTGGTTGTGATTTTAGAAGTTATTGAGTTACAATATGATTTCTATGCATTTTGGTGTTTGATTTGTGGTTCCGGATGTTATTTTGGTGTTTTAAGATCGGGAGCGAGTTCGTATGACGTTTCTAGACTTGCGTGGATATTTGGTGTGGAGCCCGAGAACTTGGGCGAGTTTCAGACTTGTTTTCGAGTGATTTGAGTGAGTTTCAGATTTGCTGGTTTTGGGCTAATGCTGCAGGTCTCGCAAATGCGAGAAACTGTTCGCATTTGCGGACCTCACATTTGCGAGGTTGGCTAGTGCTGGGGGTGTTCACTTTTGCGAAATTCTTATCGCATTTGTGATGGTGCTATTGGGCAAGGGAGACCGCAATTGCGATCAAGCATTGTTTTTGCGAAGAGGCCTGTCTTCGCATTTGCGACATCTTCTGGAGCTAACAAGGTTCGCTTTTGCGATCCATCTGTCGCATTTGTGGAGGTCGCAAATGCGAACCTCTATTCGCAAATGCGACATCTGCAGCTGGTTTAAAAGATGAGATTTCGGGACTTAGTCTCATTTTATCACATTTGAACCCTAAACTTGGTAGGAGACGATTTTTGAAAGGAATTTTCATATCTAGCTATTGGGTATGTGATTTTGGCTCAATTTCAATATTTTAACTTGATTTCTTATGAATTTTAACATCTAATCCATGAGATTTGAAGAGATATTAGGAATTTTTGACTATGTTTTGAAATATGAAAAACTTTGATATTTGAGAGTCGATGGACTCGGATTTGAAAACCAAACACATATTTGGACTCGTGGAGTTATGAGTAGTCGAGATCTACCCTTCGACTCGGGGTTTGACCGGGCGAGTCCAGGGCTGACTTTCATTGGAATTGTGTAAAGATCTTAACTTTATTAATCGAAATTGGTTTCTCTTGCATTTCTTGATATTATTAAGTCGTTTTTGGCTAGATTTGAGCTGAGCAGAGGTGAATTTTAAAGGAAATGCATTTTTAAAATATTGATTGATGGCTTTTGGAGTAAGTATCTTGTCTAACCTTGTGTGGGGGAATGCCCCTTAGGATTTGGCTTAATTGCTTATTTGTGTTATGTGTAGGCGACGTGTACATGAGGTGTGTACACCAATGTATGTGTTCCTTATGACCGGATTTGAATCGAGGTTGCTTTTATTGCCTTGTTTTGTTTGAGAGGTCCCTGTATTACGTGTTTTTCACTTTGGATAATTACTTGAATCTATGTTCCATGCTAGCGATCATGTTTCCTAAATTGGCCAAATTGGACATTTGTAATATTGTTACTGATTTGAGTTAGATTTCATGCTTATATGTTGAACACTCATCCGCATTTTCTTAGTGAATTATCCTTGTGCACTGCGTTGGCATATTGTGAATATATGTCTTGCTGATGATTGTTGGCATGCTATATTGTTATGATTGTGGCACATGTGGACTTGTTGGGCAGATTATTCGGGTGTTGCACGAGGTTTTTGCCGTGCTATTATTATTATTGATATTGCACATGTGGCGAGACAAGACGGGCTATATCGGGTTTGCATATGCTACGAGACAAGATGGGATGATTTGTTAATACGCGTGTAGCGAGATAAGGCGGGCATTTACTTTACTGTTGTGCATATAGTGAGATAAGAGTGGCAATATGGGGATGACATGTGATGACCTATGAGCATTTTTAATGTTGATGTTTGTGTGGTAGTAATAAAGGGGTAATCTTATTTGTGCTTATGACTCCTTTGTGTGTGTCATGCATTTTTACATGAATTGTTGCGTTATTTTTAATGTGCTAATATGTGTCTCTATTATTACTTGTTGGTTTGGTTGCCAAGATGGATATACCTATCTGAAGTTGTTAACATGATTTACTATATTTGCTTCCTGAAAAGTTCTCTTGAACGTGTTATTTGACAATGATACAGAATCCGATTATTATGTGGCGCGAGGTCTTAGCTGTACGGGATGTGACTTATGTTGTGGCACAAGGTCTCTTCCATGCGAGGATAATTGATAATGTGGACATGAGGTACTATATGGGTGCGATCCTATTTGATGACTCGTTGAAACTGAGCCCTTACTTATATTAAAGTACTATCACTTATTCTGATGAGATTTACAGTTATTGCCTTTAGCTATTCTTCTTATTGCTAGTCTTTGATATTTTTGCACAGGTTAATTGACTAGTGAATGTCTTGACTTGAACCTCGTCACTGCTCCACCAAGGTTTGTGTTGATACTTACTGGGTATCGACTGTGGTGTACTCATATTATGATTTTGCACATTCTTTATGCAGATATAGGTACCTCAGATCGCACGGGTTGTTAGAGAGTGGTGCCGAGTTGTTGGAGACTTCAAAGTATACCCGTTGTTCCGATCGTAGGCCTTAGAGTTACCATTCTGCTTCTTTTCTACTGTTTATATTTTCCAAAACAGTGATGTACATTTGAGGCCTATTGCGTATTCCTTATAGATCTTATTACCGAGTTCTTTCTACTGTTTATATTTTACAGTTTTTATTAAATTCTAAAGTTGTTATATTCTGATTGGTATTGTGATCTAATAGACTTACCTAGTATTAGGAACTAGATGCCATCACGACCCCTATGGTGGAATTTTGGATCGGGACAAGGTAGTATCAGAGCTCTAGGTTCATAGGTTATACGAGTCATAAGCAAGTTTAATAGTATCTTGCGGATAGGTACGAAGATGTTTGTACCTATCTTCGAGAGGCTACAAAACTATTAGGAAATTTCAGCTCATTCGTTCCTTATCATGCGAATTTATTAATTTCGGAGTTTGAGCCTTTGTCATGTTATTCTCTCACAGATGGTGAGGACACGAGCGTCAGTTACTGATGATGCTATCCCCAGTGTTGCTAGGGGCCGGGGCAGAGGAAGAGGCCGAGGAGGGGCACGTGCTACAGCTAGAGCACCTAATAGAGTAGCAGCTGAGGAACCACCCGTAGCTCCAGCTGGGGAGCAGGCACTCAAGGCGCCTGTTGCTACCCCTAGACTTCAGGAGACTTTAGTGCACTTTCTGAGCATGTTTGGTACCTTGGCTTAGGCGGGACTGATCCTAGTTGCACCATCTACTTCTCATGCTAGGGAAGGAGCTCAGACTCCCGCTGCCCGTACTCTAGAGCAGTGGTGTTATGCCAATGCAACCCGTGATTGCGTTCACCCTGAGGTTAGGCCAGTGATGTCAGAGGAGGAGCAGAAGAGGTTAGAGAGATTCAAGAAGTATCATCCTCCTACTTTCAGTGGCGCAACTTCTGAGGATGCATAAGGGTTTTTAGACTAGTGTCACTATATTCTGCACACTATAGGCATAATGGAGTTGAGCAGGTTCGACCTTACTAGTTTCTAACTGACAGGGCCGACATATAGATGATGGCAGACTTCTGAGGAGAGTAGGCCAAATGGCGCAATGCCACTTACTAAAGTTTAGTTCACTGATCTATTTTTTAGGGGTCCTTCTACAGACCCTCAGGGATGCGTTGAACACCGAGTT